TTATCTTCTTAAGGCATTTGTATCTTCTCTCTTTAGTATTATTTCACTTGTAATTTTGGAGTGGAATAAAATATTGATTGTGTCCGAAAAAGTAGGCAAAATTGGCGAACCTCGTAAATTCTGGTGTTCTTTTATTGTTGTTTTATTGTCTTGTTTATTATTTAGTGGTTGTCATAATTTTTGGTATAGTAGTTGTGACTCATTCACACTATATACATTTGGCTTCCGCAACAAATACGAGGTGTGAGGTTGGACCTTGGGCACCGTCTATGTTTTCTGATGCATAGGAATAATTGACCAAGTTGAAATGATCGATTTACATAGGTCGATGGGCCGGGCTGAGAATGAAGAACAAATGTGTGTTGTCATTCATTGAATCTTACAACTTTTACATAGTACAACAACTTTTGTTAGGATGATTTAGAACGAGCATTGGTGTTTCTTAAATTGTTGAATCAGACAATTCTCTTGAAATGGTTCATTTGGTTAATGCACTAGTGGGGTCTATTAACTTTGGACTCGGATAATCGCAGGTTTGGCGGGTTGTCTTCTATGGAATATTTTAGCAACAACCTTTGTTTGGATCAAAGGAGGAGGTTGCTGTTAAACTAATTGCTCAATCTTTTTAATCCTTCAATAAAAATTAACTATCTAACATAACTTTTTGTCATTATAGATCCCGGTGCTTGGTTTTTTGCTCTTATCTACTTATTCGGTATTCCATCAGCCTACTTCTTGTGGTATCGTCCTCTTTATCGTGCGATGAGGTACTGTTTTTGCGCTACCTCATTAAGGAACAAATCTTTATCACAGTCCTATGTTGCTGTGTTTTTTTTTTAAGACTATTTTACGATATCCCCTCTGTTTGCAGGACTGATAGCGCACTGAAGTTTGGCTGGTTTTTCTTATGTTATGCGGTGAACACAACATTTCCCCTTTTCTACTTTAGAGTTGCTTGTTAAGGACTGTTCTGAGTTTTTATTCATATATTGTAGATTCACATTGTATTCTGCGTCTTAGCTGCTGTGGCACCTCCATTCGTCTTCAGGGGGCATTCATTAACGTAAGTTTTTTTTTTCCCGGTTTTAGAAAAAGCAATATGTGATGATACAATGAGTTTCCAGGATACGAAAGTTATTGCAGTTATACCTTTTGAGCATTTTTTCCCTTTTTAATTTATTATTTGAAGTAATGTCTTGAGTTAAATGTATATGTTTCAAGTATTCCTTTATATATGCGTCGATATAATGTGGCTTACTCTTTTTTACATTCCTTTGTCTAACAGTGGTTTCTTGAATGCAATTGATCTTATAGGCTGGAATTCCATAATCGGGGTAAGGTTATCTTAGATTTTTCTAACATTTCATTAGGATCTATGTTATGCGGACTCTCCAAAATATTGCCGCACCCGTGTCGGATCCTCCAAAAATACATTATTTTTGGAGGATCCGACATGCACCCGGGGTCATTTTCGGAGAGTTCAAGCAACATAGATTAGGACTAATCTATACTAGAGGTACTCTATATTCATATTATTGTCTTCTGAACATGGGTTCAGATTAATATCAACTGCAGAAATCAACAAATTCTAACCATGTTAGAATAAATTGATGAGTAATTCTTTTGTCACAAAAGCGGAAATATTGCTTTTTGCCTCAAAAAGAGATTAAACCTTGCTTTTACTTGCAGATATTCTTCTTCATTGGTGCTGCATTCTTCTCTGTTGAATCGTTGATCAGCATATGGGTTATTCAGGTTTAGTTATCTGCCCCTTTGTAATTGCTTCTACTAGTGCTCTAACGGAGACAGATTTATGATTTAAACTTTATAGGTTAAACATGTAAAGCTCTTAGCACTGAACACATTCTAGCTTTGAAATTATGCTCCCAAAATTTATTACAGTCAGACCTCTCAATAACATCATTACATAACATTCATTCACTATAAAAATCAAGTTTTTTATGAAACCAATTTTTAAGCTATATTATAATATATGCTCTCTGTAACAGCACTTTGCTATAAAAGCCAATAAAATCCGGAACAAATGAGGCTGTTATAGAAATGCTTAACTGTATTTATTAAAACGATAATGGTTATTCATATATGTCTATGTTCTATGTAGAATATTAGATTTGGTTGAACGCATACGCCTGTATAGGCTCATTCGTCTCTGCTCTTACCCTAACATCTTTCATTATCTTCAATATGCAATATGCAGCAAGTGTTCATGTATTTCCGAGGAAGTGGCAAAGCCGCGGAAATGAAGAAACAGGCTGCAAGATCAACAATTAACGCGGCAATATAAACTAACATTTGGGGAGTGAAGGCGTACGCGCAGTTTTGGACTTTGGCCTGTTGTATTTTTTCATTCTTTCTTCTCACACCTTAGCTAGATAAGCTTTTGCAGATGTGACTACTCAAGTACATATATAGTGATGTCCCTTGCCTTTGGCTATACTAGTGTATCGTTAATCCTTTAAAATCAAGAAGTATTTTCACCAAACTAATATTTAATCGTATATTTCCCGTTTATAGGGAGTTTTCTTCATACTACAGGAGCAGAGTTGTACGAATATAGAGAATCATCAAAATGTTTGATTTTTAGTTTCTGGAATGTTTGTGTATTATGCAAACTCATTGTGATCCGAGCGGAAGCGAGCCTTGGAGCAACGGTAAAGTTGTCTTCGTGTGATCTATAGGTCACAAGTTCAAGCCATGAAATCAGTCACTGATGCTTGCATCAGGGTACGCTGCCTACGTCACACTCTTTCAGGGTGCCGCCCTTCTCCGACCCTGCATGAATGCGGATACTTCGTGCACCGGCTGTCCCTTTCATTGTCATGGGAGTACAGGAACAATTTGGTGTCAATCAACAAGATGGATTGCCATAAACAGTCGGCATTCTCTTGTATGACACAAAATTATTAAATGGACAGAGATTAAAGGTATTGGATTTTCTTGCGTGTTGACATTGTTTCAAGTCATACCAAGAGTGGATTACAATCAGATCTTATATATTTCCAATTTTTGGCACCTGCTTTATGAAATACTTGAATTAGTTGAATAATAAACCATACATGCTTGAGATTACTTTAGACTTGTTCTAGTAAACCATGCAAAATAAGACAATGAGAGTTGAACTCGCACCTATTTTGTGTGAAACTCAACAGTACCGCTAGACTTTAGGGATCGTTTGGTTTGAGGACAAATTATGCTGGGATTAGTTATATTGCGATTAGCTATACTCTGATTGATTATGCTGTGATTAGTTATCCCAGTATTATTTCTTATTGACTATTTGGTATGTTGTATTAATCATGAGATTATCAATTTTACTGCTTATTCTGGGATTACAACTCCACCATCTGGCAGGTATAAGTTATCTCGATACTATTCTTAGAGCCCGTTTGGATTGACTTAAGAAAGTAGATTTTTACCAGAAATAACTTGTAAGCCAAAAAGCACTAAGTTGGGGTTGCCCAACTTATTGCTTTTGGCTTGTTTTAAGCGGGTTTTAACTTATTTTAACCACCTTTTGACTTTGCCAAACACTAAAAAAGCTAAAAAAGAGCTTTAAAGCTTATTTGACCAGCTTAAAGGCCAATCCAAACACCCTCTTAGTGATGACCCAAAATATCATCTTTAAATTTAATAAGTAATTTTGTATTCTAAGATCTCGAAAAGTACCATTTATTTATTCCTCGACTTGCGTGCGCAGCACCTAAAATTTTCCGGAAAGTTTTCATGTGAAAAATGTATTAAAATGTGAAATAGAACTTTAAAACTCAACTGAGTTGATTTTGGTCAATATTTTTAGCAGACGGGCCCGGATCAGTATTTTGACAGTTCTGGTAGCTCTGTATCGTGATTTGGGACTTGGGCGTATGCCCGTAATTTAATTTGGAGGTCCCTAGTTGAAGTTATGACCATTTAACGGAACTAGCAATTTAAAGGCTAAAGATTTCCAAGTTTGACCACGGGGTTGACTTTTTGATATCAGAGGCGGAATCCGATTCTGGAAATTTGAACAGTTCGATTATGTCATTTATGACTTGTGTGTCAAATTTGAAGTCATTCCGGATTCATTTAATATGTTTTGGCACGAGATTTTGCAAATTGAAAAATTTAAAACTCAAAGTTTGAATCGGGTGTGAATTATAATTTCAGCGTTGTTTGACATGATACGAGACCCCGAGTAAGTCCATATTATGTTATTGGACTTGTTGGTATAGTCGTACGGGGTCCTGAGTACCCCGAGAGTGATACGGATTGAAATTGGATCAAGAATTGAACTTAAGCAAAATCTGAATTTTTCCTTCTCTTGTAATCGCACCTGCGGATTTTTTACCGCAGGTGCAAGCTCGCATAAGCGAGCCTTCGATCGCAGAAGCGTCCGGGCATGGCTTGGCAAAAATTCGCAGGTGCGGAAACCTGCACGCACCCGCGTGTCCGCAGAAGCGGACACAATAATCGCATAAGCGAAAGCAGCGCAGGTGCGCATTTTTCCTCCGCAGGTGTGAGGCCTCACCTGGCAGCCCTATTTTGCAGATGCGAGATTTTTCTCGCAGATGCGAGCTCGCATGTGCGAGCCCAGGCACCGCAGGTGCCGAAATGCCTCGGCAGTGTATATATCGAAGAGTCCGATATTATTTTCATATTTTGGTCGTTTTGAGCTCGGTTAAGGCGAAGTTTTGGGTGATTTTCACGAAAAACATTGGGGTAAGTGTTTCTTATCCTATATTGATTATATTTCATAATTCCATACTCGTTTATATCATGAATCCGTGAATTTATGGAACAAAAATCTATTTTTTCTAAAATATTCCAAAAACGAGAAATTTAGATTTGAAGGTCCATTTGATATCGGAATTGGATAATTTTTGTATGGTTGAACTCGTAGCAGAACGGGTGTTAGGATTTCGCGAGTTTTTAAAGGATTTGAGATGTGGGTCCCACTGTCGAATATTTTGATAAATTTCGAATTTTTATCCGGAAAATTAGTAAATTCATATGGAATTAATTCCTATGATTCATATTGAGTATATTGAATTATTTGTGAATAGATTTGAACTTTCGGAGATAAATTTAAAAGGGAAAGATGTGGTTGAGTAATTGATTGAAATTTGCAAAGCCAGCTAAGTGTCGTGGTTAACCTTGATTTGAGGGAATAGAACCCTTAAATTATTTGTTATGTGAATTGCATGTGAACGACGTATAGGCGAGGTGACGAGTGTCTATACGTCGTCAAATTAATTGTTTGCCTGCTTACTTGAAAGTTCATAAATTATTTTAAATCATAAATTAATTATTATAATAATTATTTCTCTCATATTTTTTGTCAAATATTAATTCTTGAATTCCTGCATTAATTATTACATGCTATTTGAATTATGTGTTTTAATTGTTATTTGACATTTAGCATAATAAATATTAAACTAACTAATTTCTCTATGATTTTCATAATAAATTGTTATTTGTCACTATTTGGTTCATAAATAAATTATAATTATTGTGTGCCTTGATACTTAATAATTTCTCATTGGACGTGGTATTTATTAGAGTAAGTTTTATTATATTTATGAGTTATTTAAAATTATATTGGGGGAACGGGTTGCGCGCCGCAACGGAAATGAAAGTGTATATATATATTGGGGGATAGGATTGCACGCGCAATAGACTTATTTAAAAGTCAATATTGGGGGATCGGATTGCACGCCGCAATAGACTTATTTAAAAGTCAATATTGGGGGATCGGATTGCACGCCACAATAGACTTATTTAAAAGTCTATATATGTACTTGATTGAAATAAATATATAACAGAATTGAATGTGAATATATTGTGAGAGCGGGTTGCACGCTGCAACAGAATTGAATATGAATATATTATGAGAGCGGGTTGCACGCTGCAATAGAATTGGTTAAAATAATAATGGATTATGACTGTTGAGTTGGCTTCAATTGTTATAAATGAGTTACCTGATTTATTTCTATTATTTGTTGTTGTTATTAATATTGCGTACATGTTAATGTAAGTGAACCGCCTTAGCCTCGTCACTACTTCGTCGAGGTTAGGCTCAGCACTTACCAGTACATGGGGTCGGTTGTACTGATACTACACTCTGCATTTCTTGTGAAGATTTTGGAGTTGGCCCCAGCGGCGTACCATAGACTTGCTCGGATTTCAGCTACCAGAGGAGACTTGAGGTATAACTACATGGCGTCCGCAGTTCTAAAGTCCCCATCTATTTTACTTTAGCTGTGTGCTTATTTTCAGATAGCTTTATTTTATTCGGACCTTTATTTGTATTTATTCTAGAAGCTCATGCACTTATGACACCAATTCTGGGATGGTATTTAGACACCGTTATTTTTATGGATAATTTCACTATATTTCAAACTTTGCTTCCACTTTTATTTCCTTGATTATTAATAATTTAAAAATTGGTTAATTTTATTCTAACGTTGGCTTACCTAGCAAGTGAAATGTTAGGCGCCACCACGGTCCGAATGAGGGAATTTTGGGTCGTGATACTTGGTATCAGAGCACTAGGTTACATAGGTATCACGAGTCACGAGCAAGCTTAATAGAGTCTGAAAGATTGGTACGGAGACTTCTGTACTTATCTCTTAGAGGCTATGAAGTTTAGGAACAATATCACTTCTTGCTTATTTTGTCGTGTGATTTTATTCTATCATCGATGATTGAACTATTCTACTCTTATTCTCTCGCAGATGGTGAGAACATGTAATACCTCTACCGATTGACAGGGACCAAAAACCCCGGTGGCAACTATGGCCAGGGGTAGAGGTCGAGGCTGAGGTCGTGCTAGAGGCCGAGGTATAGCTCAGTCCAGAGCTCGAGCAGCTGCACCTGTTGTAGAACCTCAGATGGAATTTCAGGAGGAGGTTCCAGTTCAGAATGTACCAGCTGGACCAGTTCAGGTCTCGGAAGGATTCATAGCTACTCAAGTGCTTCAGGACGCTATAGTTCGTTTGGTGAGTCTTATGGAGGGCGTGGCCCAGAATGGTACATTTTCAGTGGCACCAACCGTCTCACAGGTTGGGGAGGAGCACAAACTCCCACTACTCCCACTCCGGAGTAGATGGCTCCCCAGAATCAGGCTCCAGCAGCCCCGCCAATTGGGGTAGTTCAGCCAATTATTGTGGCACAGACCGGTGATAGGCCCGCAATGTATTTTGAGGCCTTATTGAGACTGGATAAGTTTACCAAGCTCTTTTTAATTCACTTTAGTGGTACACCTTCCGAGGACCCACAAGATTGTCTTGAATACTGCCATGAGGTGCTGCGGAACTTGGGTATAGTTGAGACCAATGGGATTGATTTTGTTGTATTTCAGATGACGGGTTCCGCCAAGAGGTGGTGGAGAGATTATATATTGACCCGACCAGTCGGATCGCCTGCACTTATATGGGAGCAGTTCTCTCAGCTATTTCTGGAAAAGTTCCTCCCTATCATACTGAGAGAGGAATTCCACAAGCAATTTGAGTGTCTACAGTAGGGCAGTATGACTGTTACTCAGTATGCGTCCCGTTTTGTAGATTTGGCCCGTCATGCTCTCCTTTTACTACCTATGAAGGGAGAGAGAATGAG